TTTTTTCTCTTTTCCCTCCTTTTTTAGTGTTGTTCCCCACCAAAGACAACCTCCCCCAAACAGCCCCCCCTGGGGGGGGGTGGGGGAATTCTGGGAGTTGAAGTCCACACATCTTAAAGTGGCCAAGGTTGAGAAACACTGGTATAAGCAGTACTGTGTAATGAACTCAAACCATTCTGTATTTAACTCGAATCGTTGTGTATTTAACTCAAATTTTGCTACAGTAGGCTCCGTTCGTAACTATGGGTCGTCTTTAAGCCGGACGTTCTTAACCCGGGTGAACCTAGAGCTGCTGAGCCAGAAAGTAGCAAGTTATGTTTTAATTGTGCAAACTCAACACACACACATTTAGTGGCTGTGTTCCAACAATGCTGTTAACTGGGCCAGTTAAATCTTCTGGGAAGAGAGTCAGCCATGGGCCTATCAGAATTCTCTAGGAAGAACACCAGAAGGCTTGGCCCCATAATCTAGTATTCAAAGATATACTGCCCTGAACGTGGAGGTTCCATTAGCCTTTGACTAATATTACCTTCTTCATGAATGTTTCAGTCTCTGTTTAAAACCACCCCAGTTAGGGGCCACAGTACAGGGGTCTGACCTTCCAGATTTCTTAGCATTTGATCTTGCCGCTGTGAATTCCATACATGAATTAGGTTTTGCTTTTGGGGGATCTGTCTTAAATCTACTGCCATTCCAAAAAGGTCACACGGGCTGGCTTCATCCAACCCCAAAGTCCTAGCAGATGGATTTGCACAACATGCTATGAATGGCAAGTGATGACCTTGGCTTGTTTTGGAGGGGTTGTGTGGACCCACCCCCTTACTTACCCTGTGGTTTAGTGCCTATTAGGAAATGGATCAATTGGGCAATGAGGTTAGTTGTGTGGCATGAACACAACCCAGATGTAAGATTTGCCCGGCTTGAGCAATCCAACGTCTGGGCTTTTCTCAACACTGTTGTCCAGAAGGGCAGATCAGCTGGAAGTCTTCAGGACTGGGACAAACAAGGATCGTGCAAGTAAGAACTTCCTCTGCCCCTTGGCTCGAGCCCAGCCTCTGGCATTCCAGCTGCCCCCGGAAGCCTTTGCCAATTTCTGAGCCAAGCCAGCCGCTGAGCCCTTCATGACAGCATCCAATTTATAGCAGTCAATCCTTCATTCTCCCTGCTCCTTTCCTCCCCGCTCTTCCCACATTCCCACATTCCTTCCCCGGCCAGCCAGTCGTCCTACAGCAGTGTTCAAACAACCGACTTGACCTAGTTGCTGACCCAAAGCATTTTCTGGGTTTGCCCAAAGGCCTCATGGCTGGGTTGGCAGAAGACACTTATGTCTTATGTGGGTTAAAGAGCTAAGGAGGACTGTGTGCGCACAAGGAGTGACCTTCGTTAGTTTGAACCTTGAGTTGTTTGCTTTGTGGCTTACTGTGTTGCATGGACTCAGCTGAGGTGCTTAAAGTTATACTTCTGTGTATTGTGCGAACCCAGAAAATGGGTTCATTCCAAAACCAGGCTAAGTATATTGTGTTAACGCAGTCAACCAGATTGAGAACAGGAATCTTGTGGCAGCGAGTTGCAAAAGCTTATTGCTTGCTAAGTGAAATCCATTGAACTGGAACTGATGAAAAAGTGCTTGGATTGACCCCTTCCATCAGGATAGACAAACTTTTATTTAAATATAAGTAAGTAAAATCATATTTTCTTCAAGTCATATTCGTCACTTGGTGACTTCCTGGTGAAATCCATCTATGTTTATTGAGAATAATACAGAGTTTATTGTTGAGTTGCCCTTTGCCTCCTCCTGAGATTTTTTGTCAATTTCCCAATCTAGTTTACAGGCTCTAGATTCCCTGGTGGTCTCCCATCCAAGCACCAGTTAGGCCTGCTCAGCTTCCAAGCCCAGAGCAGGTACATCTTTTTTTCTTTTTTCTGGATGTCCAGGTAGAACCCACCAAAGTCTTCCAGGCATCCATGAGAGATTTCCTGTCCTTTTCATCTTCCACAACATCCGCGTCCCTTAAAAAGGACGCCCTTCTCTCCGCTGAAGATGCTCCCACCGAATACAATGCAGATTCATTGTCAACTTCGGAAGCGTCTCTTTTCTTGAGTGTTGGCTCTAACCATCTTTCCTTGCGTGTCGTTACAGAAAGAAGTGGATGAAACCCTCACGACCAGCGTCTGGCTGGAGCACGTGAGTGACACCAGTTCTCCTGATGTCTTGGCTGATTCAGATAGACCAGGGTTTAATGTATTGTCGAAGGCTTTCACGGCCGGAGTACGATGGCTGGTGTGGGTCTCAGCAGCCACTCGTTAACAACTCAATAGAAGGAAAAAACCCTGCCTAACCCCCAGGAAGATACACACATATCGCAACACCAA